AACTAGCTAGACGTCTATAGAAATCAGAGTTCACATCAATTTCAACCTGAGTGATACTCGCCAATAGGCTTTGTATAGCTGTCAAAATGCTTGAGCCAGCGCATAGCAATATCGCGATCGGTCCAGCCGGCTGGGCTAACTTGTATAACGGTGCGGGAATCGATAGATGCATTGATCCAGGACTGCTATATCTGGCCATCATATCATCCAGTGGGAGCCTGGAATGCTTATCTCTGAAAGAGGACGGGTCACAAACTTCCATTAAATCTCTGCCATCTTGGGTACCGGACTTCAGCGTGTCGATTTACAATCCGCTAATTTCTGGCCCATATCCATGGTCATCAAGTGCTCTGCTCGGCAACGCCCATATTCGGTATTTACCCAAAGATGAGTTGGAAGTACACGGTGTCAGGATGGGTGAGATTCAGTCATTGCACAATCTTTCTCGCGGTCACATAATCACCCCCAAAAGCGGCCCATGCGAAATCTTGGAATCGCTAACAGACGGACTTATTCAACTATTGCAATCGTTGCCCGAAATTTCCTACGTTGCGAAGCCGGCAGGTAGCCAAAACAGCCAGAAAGTCTTCAGACAGCTCGAAACCCCTCGATACAGCAGTTGGGCAAATTACTCGACCCGGAAAGACCTGGAAGGTGATTCCGTTCCGCTGCAATCAAGATTTGAAGTGTTCTGGAGGACAATACTGCATGACCATTTCGACGACCGACATCCAGCACCTGCCTTCTGTGGTGAAGATATTCTAGCAGATATGGAGTACTTCATATACACACACATGACTATGGCATTATCTCGTTCTGCCCTAACACAACTTTCCTTAGGTAAAGCTAGGGCAGAGTGGGAGGTCTTGGTGAAGAATATTGGGAAAGAATTCACAGGCTGGAAAAAGTTACAAGGACTTTACCCATATGACCGAGAAGAGCTTATCTATCCACCTGGTTTCAGGTTTGTGGTAAGAAAGCTGGGATCAACTTGGAATCATACTGAGAACTTAGAGAATGGCGAGAAAATACAAAAGGTCTGTGATTTAGTGTTGCACAGGATGAATGAGCTTGCCATCGCAACTACTCGAAGAGTAGCGGTAAGGAATAGGACCTTAGCATCATGCCTAGGCAAAACTCTCTTTGCTACGAATCAGGGGTATATCGGTACAGGTCTTGTGTCGGCGAGAACAGGTGACGAAGTATGGATCCTAGCTGGAGGCAGGACTCCTTATTTGCTACGACGAACTAGACATAGACAATATCGTTTGGTGGGCGAAGCATAAATTCATAGGATTATGCATAGAGAGGCATTGAATGAGACATCGTCAAAGCAGTATTCAAATGTAATTCTAATCTAATGGCTTATAGTCATAATTCCATCGCGCAATCATCAGCGAGATCCGATTCGCTAGTGAAAGATTAATAGGTGCTAAAACGTCTAAAACCTGCGGTAGCCGGGATGCCCGCATGGCCAGCTTGCCCAACCGCCCTCCGCTGCAACCTCCACACAGGGTGAACCGAAGCTGAACCGGGCGTAATTTTGCTTACAAGCAGGAGATATGGCGCTAACTCAACAGGGTAATGGGAGGAGATAAGTTGATCGATAATATACGCCTTCGATTGTTTTGCAATGATACAGCCTCTGGAACCCTGGACGACGTTGGAACCTACGCGTCGAATGACATCTTTCTGAGAATATAATCGTCTTAATTCGTCACCGCCTTAAGAGCATATCCGTGTTAAGAATATAACCGTCTCACGACGAGTCTATCTTAAGAGCGTGACTCTCTGGAGAATGTCCTCATCTTGAGATGCCACCGTTTTAAGACCATGGTCGTCTTAATAACATGCCGTCTTAGGAACATGCCGTCTCAGGAACGTGACTGTCTGCAGAATGGCCCGTAGCATATCGTAGTGCAAGTTTACTCGGGACTTGGGGCCTGGAAATTGGAACCTGGCAGTTCTGCATGCCTTCCGATGCAGAGTGGGGATCCTTGTCCACGTCGAATACAGACCCAGAACTGGGACTTCAGTCTCAACTCAGGATTCGCTCACTTTAGCACAGCCACCGCTCAGGCTGGAGCATGAGCAGCTCAGTTCCCTGAACGGGAAAGGAAAGTGCTTGGGTGCACATTGGGATGTTGTACTGCCTGTTATAGAATACACTAATGTACAAAACGCGAAAGCTAAAAGCAAGCGCACCCCTAGTAATTACACATATCAAGAGAAGATGCTGAAAGAAATAATATCCAATCCATCATGGCCACGGCAGAGGCCGCTTCCTCGCCTCCCTCTCCTGAACCTCCGCTTCAACAACCTCATACAAGGGATTCCCCTTCACATACCTCTCCTTGATAGTCTTAGGCATCACAGCCCCATTCTTTACAAGCATCATCGCGATCTCTTTACACGTCAAAATCTTATCTGTGACGTCGCGATTGAACCATGCCTCCATAAGAACTTCATGCATGACCGTCTCGCCTAACCTGCTAGTCTGATTCGCATCCGCGCCGTAATCGAATAGCAGTTGCGTCAGTTCCAGTGCTTCTCGTATGGATCCAGTGACCGCAAGCCTAACGCATCGGTGAAGTGCTGGTCCGCCGCTTCCGCTTCCAGGAGGCGCATGGCATACGTCTGCGCCGTGCTCGATGAGAAGGGTGGCGACGGCGACGTTGCCGAAGTGGATGGCGATCATCAGGGCAGATTGGCCGTTCCAGCCTTTAAGGGCGTTCACGTCGGCTCCATGCTTCAGGCATAGGCGTGCAATGTCGAGGCGGCGAGAGTCCGATCGAGTAGCTGGGGAGGAGATGGCGAGGGAATAGATAAGGTAGGGCCAGTGACGTGTGATGTCTTCCCCATGCGATAGACGAAGCTGTATCTCGAGGAGATCTTCTACACGGAGAGCTTCTTCCAGGCTGGCATGTCTGTAGGATGGGCCTTTAGGTCTAGGAGGCTTGCGCTGCCGTAGCGCTGACGCATTTGATTGGTGAAGAGGCCGAGAACTACCAGTTTGGTCGCCGTAGGAGACATACAGGGTGATCGGGCTATCATCCGATCTTGACTCGTACTCTTCATCGATTGTAGGATCTAGTTGCGCTCGTTGACGTACTCGAGACCTATTACTCTCGAAGCTCAAGAAGAGGAAAACGGCAATAGTCAAGAGAACGAGAAGAAACACTAGCCACTCAAGTGTCCTGGGAATGTTCGTAACAGTGTCGACCGTCGAGCTTCGTGGATTAACGGGGTCGTGATTGAAAAGACTGCGTCTGATCCTTTCGACCACTCCAAGTTTGACGTATGGAGGAGGCGGTAGTTGTGCAGCTATTGCCCGTTGGCATGCTCGTGATTCAACTCCAGCAGCCTTTGCCTCAAGTAAGTTTCATGTAGTCATGTCTCATGAAACGCGCGTACCAATTCAGATTTACAGTCTTCAATGTAATCTTTTAGAGCAGTCCACTCAGCCAGTTCAAGGGCTTTCTGGGAAGCAGTCAAACTTTTGAACGTGGGAGACAATGCGACTACCGTTAGTATCACACTGAACAGTGCAATGGCCCATCCTAGCTGCGACGAGGTTCGCTCTGATATCGACACTTTCGACTTGAAAGTCTTCCAACTCGACTGTGACTGGAGGGAACCTATAGGTGTGATTCCATTCCCGCCTATCGTTGTTGCGGTTGGCGAGTGTGTGATCGCTGTTGTAGATGCTTGGGTAGCCATTGAAGGCGAGACGGCTGCATTTGGCGATGGTCTCAATTTGATATCTCGTGAGTTGCAGAATAGAGTGCGGAGGGGTCCCAGTTATGGAGGAGAACCTGAGGGGTGAACACTGCGTCGTTGGTTGATGCCTTGTGGCTGAGCAGGCCCCTCCTCAGCTGAGCCCACCATGTCGTCATCTGCAAGGCCAAGGCTGTGGCCGGACCTTCGAAGGGAAGAAAAGCAAGCATATCGCATATGATGATCATAAGGCTAGTGATCCAGGCCGGTGTCCTAGATCTGGAACGCGTGTGAAGATGAGTGCTTGTGTGGAATTCTCGATATTCGGTTGATATTCGGCTGCCGTACACGTGATGTATATGCACGGGACGTATAGGTCTGCTGCAGGCACGCTTTGTTACAGTAGATCTAGCGTATATTAGGCCTGCACGGGCCTCTTCTACGTGTATATAGGCTAGCTAGATTCCTACATAGAATCGACATCTATTGTTCTCCAAATTCTTACATCACGTGATCGGAAATATCACACTTGTGATGATGGAAGGGCATAGTAACAAAGCTTGACGCGGATGGGACTCCTCTCCGGCTCTTCCCAAATTCCTTATATTCTCCTCCCACCTTCATCAACGCACCGAGGAGTGATGGGGGCGTCGTTTATACACATTAAGAACGCTCGGCACTTAGAGAAGGTATATCGATAGGCGCCGGGGCTATGAGTGCAATGGAGCCTTACACGCAATCACAGATATCTGTTTCTACCGTCTACGCACCCCTTTCATGGAGCCACTCGATGGGATTCAAGAATTCCAGATGAGCTGACCATTCTATATAGGTCAGACTGAGACTCATTTCAATTCTCAGATACTTTACAGGACTGAGCGGATTGTGTTCCTCGGAGTAGGCTGGCTGAAGTTCTCGCCGGTCAAGGTGATGATGTTATATATTGTCCTTTGTAAGAGTTTTGAAATTATAGTGAAGCGCATCAAGCAAGTGCAACAAAAGTTACACTGTCTCGTATTTCAAGATTATCTCTGTTTTTGATGATAAAGCTTCTTTACCATCAACACGTCAATCCGCGTAGTGTTAGTCTCAAGACACTAAGCAATCGGATGAGAGACATCCAGGAGACAATCAGCAACAGACCATGTCTGCCACCTATATAAGAACAAATGCAGCTCTTTTAAAAAGGTACCTAATCTCCGTCTATCCAGAGTCGAGACCGTACTAGGGCGCGAACTGTGTACACCAGACTCCCCTCACGTAGAGCACCTTAATGCATACTCCCTCGCTGAATCTTACAAAGGACACGCGGTGTCTTGAGAATTGGCATAGCAAGTGGCCATGCTAACCAGGATGACAATGTTACCTACCGTCCGGGCTCATGATAGTGCGCCTCTCGCAATAGCTAATAGAGCAGTTCATGCAGTCTCATGGCCCGAACTGTATTGATGCTGTCGGCCCCCCTTCCTGCATTGCAGGCTTACTCAGCAGTCTCGTGTATATCTTTCCTCCTTCCGCTCAAAGGCTGGCTTCCTCGTCATCATCAATACAACAGCTTTTGGCTACACACTTGTCTTGATCCGGTTCCCCTCTAACTGTCGCTCAATACTTTGCTGGGAACATCATGACTTTAATCACTTGGTCTATTACTTCAATAGGTAGGTACCCTCATTCACCAGAGACTCTTCTGAGCGGCTTATTTAACCACCGACCCAGTAACATTGCGCTTGCACATTCACAGTTTCTTTGAGATTTGCGCTCGAGCGTCCGCAATCGCTCGATATCTTTTCCTAGACCACGGTCTTGAACTTCCTTCGACCCATAACACATCAAACATACCCGCGATCGAAGCCAGGAGCCTGCTCCTAGATCTGCCCGGGGAACTTCGAAACAGTATTTACGCTGCTGAATTTGGAGAGGGTTGCTACCTGTGTGTAACCTTTGGAAGCGACCGTCGCCTCCGAGTCTTTCCCCCCAACGGTGACAACAATTCGAACGTGGCAACAACTTTGGATGGCTTCAAGATCAACCACCTCCTCCGTCGCGAATCCCGAACCTTCTTCTACGGCAAGGAGTTCCGCTTCTTCGAGGACGGCAAGTCGTCCCGCGACGTTGCCCGAGCCTTTCTAGCCGCCATCGGGCCTCGAGGTAGAGAACTCAACTCGGGTTGTAACAGCTACAACCTAGGATCAACAACTCATACGGTTCACGGTCACCTACGTACAGACTTGGAGTTGCTGGCATAGTAGCTGCCTACATGCCTAGCCAGTTACAACTTCTACAGAGAGGGGTTGGGGTACGGTGGCCTACCCTGCCTAATGCTGCCTACTGCTGCCTCCAATTAGTGCTTCTGCCTATGCATACAGTCACTTCCTACGTAGTATATAGTTTGGCCTTCGGGCCCCCGAAATAAGACAGAGTTCACATCAATTTTCAACCTGAGTACAGACCCCCAGGGATCCTGCCTGTGCGGCGAAAACCACCAGTACCGTAATTGCCCGTACATCTGTGCCGATAAACGCCCTCCCGGCTGGGAAATAGATACAGCAGTACAAAGAAGAGTAAAGGAAGCTCTCGAGAAGAAGCACCCGAATAGCCAGGAACGAATTTGGAAGATGCAGGCAGACTATACAGGTCCTACTCCTGGAGCTGTCTCAGCATTTTAACCAACCAAACCGACAGAACCAGTCGATTTAGCAGAACCAGCCAACACGGCAGAACCAGCTGAATCAGCAGAACCCAGTCGAATTGGCAGAACCAACCGCATCTCGTGCAGCCCTATTACTCTACAGCTAGGCCCCTACGCAGGCCCTTTCCCTCAACAAAATGCGACGTTGCTAGCAGGATCTAGGAATTGGACGACGGAATTCACCATCTTTCGTTGCTGGGGGGTGACTCAGGTTGTAGTGCTGCAACCTGAGTATGACGGCAGAGAACAACCGCTTGGTAGGGATCATGAACGGAAGTTCACAGCACCCCTTTAACGAAGAACGAAAAATCCGCTGTAGATGGGCTGTTGCGTTTTATGGCTAGGATGAGATGGTTGAGCCCTGAGGAGGTTAGAATAGGGGTGAGGGCGTCAATGTGGGATCCTCGTCAATGTCGGCCCCTTCCTCTCTAGCAGGCTTACTCAGCACCTTGTGTATATCTTTCCTCCTTCCGCTCAATAGCTACCTTCCTTACCATCATCAATACAGCTTTTGGCTACACACCTTGTCTTGATCCGCTTCCCCTCTGACTGTCGCTCATCGTCAATGCGAGATCCTCTGGTGCCGCTGACCCCAATTGAGACGTATACCTCACTCGTTCACCCCACTGAGGAAACTCGTGCCTTTATGCGTTGTGCGGAGGAACTCCAATAACGGCCATAGTACCGTGGTTCACCTAGAAAGCGAGAATCACCTAGAAACGAGAACTGGTGAGGATTTGAGGGGCCGAGCGGTCAGTCCAAACTTTTCCTAGCGTGACTAAATCTGCTCGCGAAACACTCCACCATAGCGGTTTCATCTGGAACGGTCGTGGTAAGGAAAGAAAGCATATATTGGGCTCTAGAAAGATCCGCAAGCATCTCCAATCTACTCACCGTCCCTCTCGCCATTCAGCAAACCTTCTTATTGACTTTTAAAGCCTAACGGCGGTGTAAAACTCCTTTTCCCTTCATTCCAGATCCGAAGATGGAACCTGCAAGACCTGAACGTGCTGACGCACGAGAGGAAAGCGCCAAACTAAGAGTTGTCTTCCCCCCTTACAACGCCATAGAAATGGGCTCGTGAATCTGAACGCCCTGGACGACGACATTGGAATGATCACGTGAGTCCAGTCTATAGGGTTTTTGGTAAGAGTCTAATGACTTTGATATATAACAGTGCCGCTCGTAACGAGAAGGAATCTCCGCTTTTGGCACTTCCAAAAGAAATACGATTGATGATATGGGAGTATGCGTAGGGCGGCCACCACATCCACATCACCGACTGCGAGTTAGACAGTCACAGAGTTCGTTCGAGTACTGAGAATGACGCTAAGCTGTTCAATTATGCGTATCCCGATTCTGGAAACTACAAGAGTTTCTGCAGCGTTGGTCGTATCAGAGTTCAACCAGCCAGCATAGAGGCCCGGCCGGTTTTTGCCAAATACTGCACGTCTAAAGATACCAGCATTCGGTTCACAAACATAATGCGCACGTCGCGTAAGGTTTATGACGAAACCTGGAGTTTGTTTTGCGCGCTGAACACTTTCTCCTTCATAAGCAGATTTACCATGGAGGTTTGGATGAAGCGACGAATCAGCGTACAGAGGCGAGCAATCAAGCATCTTTTGCTGATCATGCCCAAGCCTGTTCGTTCAACAATCGTAGCGGACGAAGCCTTGTATCCACGGATCGAGGACAGCTCGCCGGATTAAAGGCCATAACGATCTATTGCGAAGCCCTTCGTGTAATGGATGGGCCAGCAGGTGTCGCAATTTGGTCAAGTCCTTTGCAGCAAAGCCTGCCTCACAGATTTACCAATGGTTCTTCAATTAAGTTTGTAGGGTAAAGAACTGGAGACGCATATCAAGGATGTCACTCAGACTTCTCACGAATGAATTTATTACAAACATAACCTACAATCAAAAGCGAACCAATTATTTCATGAATTCAAACAACTTGACCGTACCAACCCAACTAAGCAAAGGAGAAGTCACTACTAAAGCTGTTAAATTCTTGTCCCCTATACACCCCTAAATGCACAGACTCTGGACCAGATCGCTAGACATTGCTGCTATTACGTTCATTCAAGCCAGACCGTCTTTCACATTCTGCGTTGCGGTTTTTCCTATGGTAGCCAAGATTGACATTGATGCAGTCGATAGCCAACACGGCGTCAATGCTTTCCTGGAGGCTAATTCGGACGCCCATCCCATCAAACAACTCCGCAAGATCGATGTCCAGGTGCAAGAACTTCAGTGACTTCACCGAGCACAGCAGCGCCATCGTAGAGCTTAGCGTGTTGAGTGACTTACGGTTTGGTTCATCCGCGAGGCAAAACGGAGTTGGGTTGATCAACTCGATGTGCTCGATGTACTTCCGTCCTTGTGCGCTGATAGCGGCGAGGAAAGTGCGCGCTGCGTAACGATAGGACTTGCCGTGCTCGTAGACACGGAAGTGCTTCTTGCTGAAGAGGCGAGTCAGGGATTCGTGGCGGAGCTGGTGGTTGACGCTGAATGCTGTGAGAGCGCCGACAGCATTGGCGTTGTCTTGAGGATTGAACACTCGGATACGGCGGTTTTCGTTGCCGTCGAAAGTTACGTCGAGGACCGGTCGCTCGTCTCCGAAGGCGAAGTCATACACCTTGTTGCGGAGTTCACCCGCTAGCTCCAGGAAGGGGCTCTTGGCTGGCGTTCGATCCATGCTTGATGTGGGGTCGATGAAGTTGGTTGTGTTTTGCGGCTGTAGAGAGCTGGAAATGCTAAAGGCTGTGGTGTGAGAGCCAAGGGTGTAGAGGGTTGAAACTATGTAAGGTGGTGGTGTGGGAGCAAAAACGGTTTGGGGATAGAAAGGAAAGTAGAGACTTGTGTGATGCTTATAAGTGCAGACTCCAGCGATTGCAGTGATTGACTTTGACCTCTAGAGAGCATCATTCGAATGCTATAAAGGTGACGCTTTGCATGAATGGTATCGGTGAACCGCACTTCTTCGTTCACGAATAATGTATCGGGATACGCTGTTTCCATTGAGTCAGCCGCCACCTATTGAAGAACAAGTAGTCATGCCTTTAGTACTTCCTTTGTACTTGGACGAGCTTATTTATCACCCCCCCTTTCTCTAATTATCACCCCCCTTTTCTCTATTCATCACCCCCCCTCGATTAGGCCTAGCTCCGGCCCGTATGAATATTGTTCCACCAATCAAACTCACTCGCTTGCCCGCTCGTGCCCAATACGGAATTTACATCACCTACGCACTCGGTTGTGATGCATCAACACCACTTCCTCTACTGAGGATGGAGGTGAAACAATGCATTGAACGAGGTAAGT